GTTAGCCAGGATGGTCTCGATCTCCTGACCTCGTGATCCGCCCGTCTCGGCCTCCCAAAGTGCCGGGATTACAGGCTTGAGCCACCGCGCCCGGCCCATTTGTGTATTTTCTTTAGAGAAATGTCTATTCAAATCCTTCACTCATTTTAAAATGGGGTTATTTGTCTTTTTATTGAGCTGTAAGGGTTCTTTATATTTTCTAAACGTAAGTCCCTTACCAAGTATGTAATGTGTAAATAACCTTTCTATTCTGTGGGTTGTCTTTTCAGTTTCTTAATGGTTATAAAAGTTACAAAACTGTTTAATTTTCATGAAGTTCCATTTATCTTTTTTTCTTTAGTTGCTTGTGTTTTTGGTGTCACATCTAACAGCCATCGTCTGGCCCTTTTGAAGATAAAGGGACCTGGCTTTGGAAGTTGAGACTTCAGATCCTTTTCTGGAATGAGCCGCTCCTTCATTTACATAGTCATTCATTTAGAAATATTTTTGAAACCAAACTTCTTGCCCGGTCCTGGGGATACAGCACTGACAAGGAAAACCCAGTCCCTACCCGTCTTGATCTTGGAGTCAAATGTGGGATAGACAGGCATGAAGCAGATAACCGAAACATGTCATTTCTCTGTTTTAGTTAATTACAGATGTGCAGGAGAGGGAGAAGGCCTAGGAGTCTATAACAAGGAGACCTGCGCTTGTCTGGGAGCCGGGAAGGCCTCTCAGGGCAGGGCATGGAGGCTGAAATCTAGGGCCAGGTCAGCTTTAACCGGTGCGGTGGGGACGGGGGAAGGGTGCCTTAGCTAGAGGGAACAGCAGATACCAAGGCCCAGAAGTGGGAAGATGCTTGTGCTCCCTGCCAGGGGCAGCTCCTGCTGGGTCACTGACCCCTCCACTAGGGTTTCTTGCGGGTCTGGTGGCCCCATGGAAATGTGTGCCTGTCATGGATTTAGGGGTGAGGCTCCCGATCCCAGAGAGACCCAGATACCCCGCAACTGTCTCCAAGCAAGGCTCTGCTGAGGTTTGTGGGGGACATGAGGGAACCTCCTCTAGACTCCTCCAAACTCCAGGGTCATTCTGAGCCTGCAGAGGCCACACTAGCCACCATTCTTGCAGCCACCCTGGCTACCGGCCCCCAGGACTGGGAGCAGGTCAGAGCACGACAGTCCCAGGTGGGGCGGCCCATGCCTCTTGCTCTTGTGTGCTGTGGAGAGACCTGGGGAAGCCATAGGATGGGGCCCCCTGGGGACCTGTCCTCGGGCCCCACTGCGGCTTCCATCATCACCTTCCTTCCCGGGATGTGTTTCTCCTTCTCCAGGCTGGTAGCTATAAAAATGTGTCAGCGTCACGGGTTTTTGTTCAAAATTAATGAGGTGAAACATTCTTAAAAGTGTGGCAGGGCAGTGGCTGGTGGTGGCTGGCCTCCCCCAGCCCCTTCCTCACTCGGAGGATGTGTCCTCGCCAGGCCGCCATGGCTCCAAGGGAGGAACCTAGACCCCTGCACAGGAGGGCGGGCTCTGCAGGCTCAGCCGGCCCTTCCCATGCCTCCTCCTTCACTCAACACTCAACACTCAATGCAGATTGATGAGAGGTACCCTGTGCCAGCCCCTGTGATGCATTCCAAGGAGACAGAAAACAGTAAGTCCCAGCCCCTACTGGACCGATGACCCTGCACTTACCCTACAGTGTGACAGAATTACAATGGGAGAGGCACAGGGCTTTCTGGGAGCTGTGGGTCCAGGATGGCTTCTGGGAGGAGGAAGCATCTCTGCTGAGACCTGAAAGTGAGCAACAAAGGGAGGAGACGTTGCCAGCTCAGGCAGGGGTCCATGGTGAGAGGGCGTGGTGTGTGTGATGAGAGCAGTGACCCCAAAGAGGCAGGGACCTGGAACAGCGGCTGTGCAGCCCTGAGGCCACCTGGCCTGGCTCTGCCTACTGGAGTGGCCTAGATGGCCCCATCCAGCAATGGTCCAGTGAGGTGAAGATGGACCTGTGCCTTGTAACTCGCACCAGAGGACCTCAGACCCTCCTTTGTGCCTTACCCCTGGTCCCTGAATTTCTGGGGCTGAGGCCATCTTGGCCTGATTGAAAGCCAGCTTGGCCGGGTGCAGTGGCTCACACTTATAATCCCAGCACTTTGGGAGGCCGAGGTGGGTGGACCACAAGGTCAAGAGATCGAGATCATCCTGGCCAACATGGTGAAACCCCGTCTCTACTAAAAATACAAACAATTAGCTGGGTGTGGTGGTGGACACCTGTAGTCCCAACTACTCGAGAGCTGAGGCGGGCGAATCGCTTGAACCTGGGAGGTTGCAGTGAGCAGAGATTGCGCCACTGCACTCCAGCCTGGCAACAGAGCGACACTCCATCTCAAAAAACAAAACGAAACAAAACAAAAACGAAAGTCAGCTCTTGGGCCCCTTGGTCGGGGTGCTGGCTGGGGCAGGGCTATACTCCTGGGATTGGAATAGCCTAGAAGCCTCAGCATCCTTCTCCATAAGGCCCCAGGGACCATGTTTCTTCTCTGTCTTCCCTTCTTCCCTTCCTTCTTTTCTGTCTTCAAATGTTGTTGAGCCCTCTCTGTGTCCGGCCTGACTGTGGCCCACCCTCAAAGGGCTTGGGGCTAGGCCTGCACGCGTCTCTAATCCTCGCTGCCCTGCTGTCTGCATGCCTGAAGCTGCGTGCTGCAGCCCCAAGAATGTTTCTGTTGCCTTCAGCCTCCCTCCTTTTGGTTGTTCCATATACCCTTAAGCCACCAGGGAGACCCCCCCGCAAGAATCCCAGCACCGCGGGGATCTTGGGCAGGGGGATTCTTGGGGCTGGCTGTCCATGCCGAGGTGACTCAGACAGCAGTGTAGGGAAGTGGCTAAGACGCCGGACTATGTGCTGGTCTCTGAATTTCAATCCCAGCTCTGGCCTTTCCTGGCCATGTGGCATCAGTACATCATTGAACTCTCTGTGCCCCCTATGTAAAATTGAACTAGGGGCCAGTTGTGTCGGATTGTTATGAGGGTTAAATGAGGTAGCTCCTGTTAGTCCCATTTTTCAGGTGAGATTCTGTCTCCTTTTTTTTTTTTTTTTTTTTTGGAGACAGTCTTGCTTCGTTGCCCAGGCTGGAGTGCAGTGACAAGATCTCGGCTCACTGCAACCTCCGCCTCCCGGGTTTAAGGAATTCTCATGCCTGGGATTACAGGCACACACCACCACACCCAGCTAAATTTTTTGTACTTTTAGTAGAGACGGGGTTTCACCATGTTGGCCAGGCTGGTTTCAAACTCATGACCTCAGGCATTCCACCTGCCTCGGCCTCCCAAAACGCTGGAATTACAGGCGTGAGCCACCGTGCCCGGCCTCAGGTGAGATTCTTGAGGCTGGGAGCGGTTAAAGGTTCACCCCCGGCGCTCTGCTAGTGAAGGGAACCTGCCTGAGAGCCAGACCCAGACCGGCCACCTCCTTAACCACTAGGCAGTACTGCCTTCCATTCCTTACTGGGAGAGGTAAGAATCGTCCCTCAAGCCTCCCTCAGGGCCACTTGTGTCCTTGCTGATGCTGCCAGGCAGTGGCTAAGGATGTGGTTTCAGAGTTCCTGCCTGAGCGCTTCTCCCAGGGGCCCTTCAAAGGAACCCAAATCTCTACCAAGAAATCCCAGGGGGAAACTGAAGCCTCGCGGCCTCTCCACCCTACCCCACCTCCACTTCCTGCCTAAGACGTTTCCAAGCTGTAAATATTTCTCCAGCTCTGAGGCTCCTCTGAGAAGGCCCAGTGTTAATTTGTTAAATCCACATCGAGGTCCCAGGGACCCGTTGTTTGTTTTTGCGATCCTGTTGGCAGAGATCACGTTGGGGGTGGTGGGGAGGGCTGCTTATTTGGTCAGAATAAATGCTAATTAATAAAAGTTATTTATTTGGGTTGGAGCTCACCTCAGCCCTGGGGTCAGGCGCAAACTGACTATTTGAAGCAAAAACAAACAGAGTGTGTCTCTCAACAGCTTGAGAAAGGCAGGAACGAAGAGGCTGAGTTTATTTGTCTTAGGAAGAATTTGCAGTTAATTCCCTCCAGACTATTTAGACCCTTAAATTACACGGAATAAGAAAAACCATGGGCACAGGGGAGGGCGGTGGGAACAGTTGGTCATTTGGCTGAGAGCAGAGTTTTTAAATGTCTTTAGCCCCCAGTCAGCCAAATAAATGGTACGTGTGAAATAATTTAATGGCAGAAAACTGTGCACCAGTCATTTTTTCATCGTAATGTAATCGGGGACGATGTCGCTTTGGTTTTAAGGAAGAGAGCGCGCGAGGCAGGCCTCCCCCATCTGAGCTCGTTTCTCTTCTCCCGGATCCAGGCCTCCACAAAAGCAGCTAAACAGCCTGGTCAAAGGGAGGCGGTTTCATGCTTTGTTTCCATCTCAGGGAAGAGCAGAACTTTTCCTGAACAAAAAGAAACTCTGGGCACAGCCCTCCTTGAAGAGTGCAGACCCAGGGCTTGCTGGCCGGAGGAGAGGGGCCCTGTGAAAAGGCAGGGACCCGGCGCCAATGGCCTGAGGCTTACAGAGTATTTATTTTATTTATTTCCTAAATGCTTTAAGCCCAAGCCTGGAGTCCCCAGAGGAACACATACGCCCACCACAATGCATTTCTCAGGAGGTGGTTCAGGAACTTAGGGCGACATATCCGGCACATCCGCTCGGAGGCGGAGGCTAGCGCCAGAGCCCCCGGCTAAGTCCAGAGCTGTGGGTTCGAGTTCTGGTCCCCGGGGAGGTGCTGCCTGGGTCCTTCTCCCCGTCAGCGTTCCTTCCCAGCCTCAGCCCACGGCAGGGTGCAGCCCCATCTTTCTGCTGTAGGCTGGGAGAAATGTCCTTGTCTTCTCATACAAAGCTGGCTGCACAAAAGCAATCATGTTAAGGGGAGTGAACATTTATTGAGCAATTACTATGTCCTTGGCACTGAGCTACACTCAGCTCCTCACAGCAGCTTGGTGTGTCCTTCAGCAAGCTGCTGTCCCACACCCTCCCAGGGGTAAGGGCTTCCTTTAGATCGAAGGGGTGACGTGAGGCTGGAGGCCTCCCACCATGGCATCTCCTGACCCCACCCACCCATGGGTTCAGAGAGCTGGGACCAAGCGTGTGACAGGCCCCCTACGCCGCGGAGCCTGGGAGCGAGGTAGAAGAGGGAGGAAACCCTGTGAAGAGGGGTTCACAGCCTTGGCTTCGCCAAGCCTCCCAGCAGACATTGATTTCTTCTTTTTTAGACGGAATTTCACTCTTGTTGCCCAGACTGGAGTGCAGGGGCATGATCTCAGCTCACTGCAACCTCTGCCTCCTGGGTTCAAGTGATTCTCCTGCCTCGGCCTCCTAAGTAGCTGGAATTACAGGTCCCCACCACTGTGCATGGCCAATAGACATTGATTTCAATTCCAGATGTATGACTTTGGGCAAGACACTCTCCCAGCTTCAGTTTCCCTGTGTGTAAAATGATGCAGTTGTTGGCTCACGCCTATAATCCTAGCGCTTTGGGAGGCCAAGGCTGGTGGATCACCTGAGGTCAGGAGTTTGAGACCAGCCTGGCCAACATGGTGAAACCTCATCTCTACTAAAAATACAAAAAAAGTAGCCAGGCATGTGGCGGACGCCTGTACTCCCAGCTACTCGGGAGGCTGAGGTAGGAGAATCGCTTGAACCCGGGAGGCGGAGGTTGCAGTGAGCCGAGATCGTGCTACTGCACTCCAGCCTATAATCCCAGCTGCCCGGGAGGCTGGGTAGGAGAATCACTTCAACCCAGGAGGCAGAGGTTGCAGTGAGCCAAGATTGCGCCACTGCACTCTAGCCTGGGGGACAGAGCGAGACTCTGTCTCAAAAATAAAATTAAAAAAAGTAATAAAATAAAATGGCACAGTGCCTCCTAGGGTGGATGCAGGGGACGGTGGGTGGCCACACGTGGAGCACTTGGCACCACTCCTGGCCCAACTGGCTCTGGCTGAACGCATCACATCACAGCTGCCTTGGCACGACCCTGGGCAGAGCTGACTTGGGAAGCAGTGGGGACGCCAGCCAGTGTTGGGGGCGGTCTGGGGCTGGCTGGGGTGGGGGTAAATGCCTTTGCGTGAGGGTTTGGGCTCCACGTCGCCACACAGCTTAACTGGCATGAAAGTGGAGCTGTTTCTTCAGGCGCTCGCTCGGCGAGGCGAAGGCTGCAAAATGGTTTTCATTTAAACACCCCCAGGTTTGAACTGCTCAGAAACTTCCCGAAAATGTCTCCTTTTTTGGCTGAAATGCCTCCTGTGTTGGGTGTGTGTCCAAGAGGAATTGCCTGAAAGGGGGTGGAAATCACCCCTGCAATGACGGGCTTTCCAGAAACTTCCATCCCTGCTTTCAGGCTATTGATCACCACCCAGTTTTCAGCGCAAGAGCTCTTGTTTCGGTTTAAAGTTTCTTCCTCATCGAGGCAGTGGGGGTGGAAAGACATTCACAGGCAGCAGACATTCTCATCCATCCTCACCTTTGCTTGAGGAGTGAAGAGTGAAGCGGTCCCGGCAATGAGAACAGCTCGCATAGGGCCACTGCGTGCTCCCTCACCACTGGCCCCCCCAGCCCCCACCTGGTCCCGTGTGTTTGCAAGTATTTCCCAAAGGGGGAAACTTCGGAACATAACCTCCTAGTCATCCCTCTAAACCAGGGTTTCTCAGCCTCAGTACTATTG